GTGATGCAAAGACTGGGGTGGAGACACTGGCTGCTGCGGGCATCTGGTGAGGAATGGAGCCAGTGGTGTCAACGGGGATGGCAGAGAGTGGACCCATCTGAGGTCTGAGTGATGACGGCCTGGAGGCGGGAGGGGGAAGAGGCAGGAAGACCAGCATGAGGCCCAGACTCCTGACTCGGGCAATCCCCTGAACACGCAGGTCGGAATTCCTGAAAAGCCTCCAGCTCCAGCTCTAGACTTATGAGTCAGCAGCAGACAGAAAATAATTTCAGCCAGAATTGATGAGCTCTCCAAGGAAGAGGGGTCAAGAGTAAGAAAACAGGGCTTAGACAGAAGCCCAGAGGGCCGAGGGAAGAGCTGGTCAGAGAAGGAAGAGAAAAACTGTAAGCACGCGCTGTCAAGAGAGTTAAGGATGTGACTGTGGTAAGAAGGGTGCGTTTACAAGTGTCCAGTTCTGCCGAGATGTATCCACAGGTCACTGGTGAGCTTGACGGTGAAGATGAATGGAAACTTGGGTGGTGCTGAAGTGGTGAGAGTGAGCACCACCCAATAGAGGCAACGATTCTTTATCTTCTTCACATTGTAGCGGAAATGTATTTATTTATTCATTCCACAAAGACTTTATTTATTAAACACCTAATGTGCTGGGTACGTGTTCAGAGCTGTGGATATGACAGAAAGTCCTTGAGGCCCTCATGCAGGAGACAGATACCCTCACCCATATCACAAAACCATGTGATGCAAGTGCTATAAAGGGGATGCACGCCAGGGGCTTTGGAACAAGCGGGACCAACTCTCCTAGGGATGAGGAAGGGCAGGCAGGAAAGATCCTAGAAAGCAAAGAAGATGGACAAGGTTTGCCCAGGTGTGATTGTCATTGGGGACATCCACTGCAGAGTTCAGATGTCAGCCAGCAGGGGAAGACCAGCACTTCTGGACCTCCTGGGGGTTTGGTGGGGCCAATGAGTGGTGAGTAGTGGTGAGCATGTCACTTCCAGGCCAGAGTACTCAATTGCCAGTACAAGATCCTCTGGAGGTCTCTCTTCCCTCTGGCATGACGAACAGCAATGTTTGAGACTATGGCTGCTCCCAGGTGCCTGAGTAACTGCCCTCAAGACACACTTCTCTTGACAGACAAGAAGTGTAGGGGAGGAAAAACTATTTTCCCTCTACCCATCTTAGGTTCATTGGCGGGGGCCCTGTAAATTAGACCAACCAAAGACAGATTAACAAGAGAAAAACAAACAGAAGTTTATTAACGTGCATTGTGCATACGCATGGGAGCACCCAGCAATGGTTAGAACTTGGCCTTATGTAGCATCTTCACAAAAGAACGATACATTTTTAGAGACGCGACAAGACAAAGGAAAAAGACTTTGAGCTTCTAGGGGTGGCAAACTGTGGGGAGGCAAATATATGGGGAAACTGATGGTAGATAAGGGCTAGTTTTAGCAAGGTTTGTTAGGTAGAGTCTTCTGCTGCTGTATCCGGGCTGACAGAGTTGTTGCCAGTATTTAACTTCTGTCGTTCCTGGTAGAGAGAGGAGGGGGTTATCTCTACTAATGTATGTCCTGCTTTTAGGCAAATAGGGGAAGGGCCAAGAGATTTTCTTGTATCTGCTTCTTCTCATTTGTCTTCAGCTCAAAATAATTTTTATGCCAAAGTGGCGTATTTTGCGATGGCATATTCTGCTACCCTGAGGCAAACTTTTGTTGTTTTACTGTTGTTACTGTCACCTTAGCATCACCTAGCCCAGTGGCTCTCGAAGTGTGGTCCCTGGACCAGCAGCGTCAGCTTCTCCTGGGAAGCTGTTAGAAATAGAAATTCTCGGGCCCCACCCTGGACTTACTGAAGCTGAAACTTTGGGGTGGGGCTCAGCAATCCGAGTTTTAACAAGCCCTCCAGGGGATTCTGATGCGCTCTCAAGTTTGAGAACCGCTGCCCTCGCTGGTACTGACTGATACAGTTGTCAGGAAGGCAGAGCAGGAGGAATTAAAATTCAGAGAGAAGGTCATTCCAGGAAAGTAAACTTGAAAAGACTGAGTAAGAAGACTAATTAAATAGTGAGGCTTTTCATGTCATAGGAAAGAATTTTGAAGAAAAAAATATCACGCCCATCCCCACAGACTGGGCCTTCCTATCAAAATGGCCAAAACTGTGCAGCCGTGTGTACAGTCTCCTATGTCACATCAGAAGAAAACACGGTCACAGAGGGGATACTCTGAATCCAATGGCATTGACGCCACACCTAGAGAGCCTAAGATAAATCCAGAAATGCATTTTCCATTTGTCCCCATGGCTTTGCTGACTTGGAAAATGCTTCTGAATGCTCTGAATCTGAAAGGTACCTAAAACCCAATTCTCTCCTCTGCGGGTAAGTCATTAGAGCTGTAGCCCAGGCTATTTGGTAATGGGCACTATTTAAATGAAGCAAAAAGTACCATTTCAAACGAATTGCTTTTTAAACTGTCAAATAAAAGCAATCCATTTGTGCCTGTGAAATTATTCCAAGAGTTCTCACTATTAACTGAGAGCAGGTGAAAGATGTCAAAGAAAAAACATTCTATTAAAGAGCTGGCTAAATGTTTAAAGACAGACACCTGATGATTCCTTTGGCCTGTTGTGGATTCAAAAATTTCTATTTTCACCAGCCCTCAGTGAGCTCCACAGACAAGAGGTTTAAGAAAATATTAAATCCTAGTAACAAAGATGCCATCTTGTTCCTTGGAGTTGATTTAACCAGCGTGAGCCTCATGCTGTGTTACGGGCGGGAAACAGCCTCCAATATGATCACTGTAACTTTTTCCTTTGGCTTAAATATGATGCCAAGGGCCCTTGGCTAGCTTTCCAAGTGACATACGTAACATTTAAGCAAATAAGGTCTTCTATTTGCTATTGATAAATGCATCCTCGTACAGCGTAGTCAATGAGAAGAAAATTCTGCAAAGGTATAAAAAGTGCCTTTTCCATCACTGGCAGGCATGCTTGGTATAAGTCACCAATATGGAGGATGAGAAGAAAATTCTGCAAAGGTATAAAAAGTGCCTTTTCCATCACTGGCAGGCATGCTTGGTACAAGTCACCAATATGGAGGGTGAGGCTCAGTGGTGAGGCATCTCTAGAGACGCAACAGAAGCCTGGGCTGTTCCACAGAAGGCCAACCCCCGCCTTTTCCATTTCATTTCCCCCAGGATTTTCCACTGCAATGAGTCGTGTGTTCATGCCTTCAGTATCTTTGTGGGTACTGAAATGAGGCTGCTGAAAACAATTAGTGAATCTTCTCCATCTCCTGTCCCTCCAGGTACCTCTTGCCTGGGTCACTATGTCAGGCTGACACAAGCAAAGTTGTCATGCAGATGGTGACTAGCTAGAGGCATTGGGCCATGCTTCTCATACTTGAATGTGCACACACATCTCCAGGAGGTCTGGTTAACAATGCACATTCTGACTCAGTAGGTCTTGGCTGGAACCTTAGAGCCTGAATTTCTTGTAAGCTCCCAGGCAATGCTCCTGCTGCTGTGGACCACATTTTGAGTAGTGAGGGAATAATGCACATTCTGCAAAACCGTGACTTTTAAAACTAATCCTACTAAACAGGCATTTATCTAAGGGTCTGGTTCCCCTTTGATTTAGGGTTCCTTGAAAGCAGGGACTGAATCTTGCACATTTTTTGGTTGTTTTGTTTTGTTCTCTGGCTGGCACTTGGCACAGGTCTCTCACACGGTGGGTGTGTATTTATTTAATTAAACAGAGCTGGCCTTGTTCCAAAAAGGATTCCAAGTGGACTTAACCCCTCGCACGCCATAACTAGGTGCGGGATGAACTGGCCAGGGAAGGCAGTGGGTCCCAGGGGTAGACACAAACCCTCTGTGCTGAGGCCCTTCCGCTGAAGGTCCACCACCTGCTTGCACCTCCATCACACCTCCGTTGCCGCTCTTCTGAAATTCTCCCTCCTGCCCCATTTTTAAAGCGGTTTACACTAGAGAGCCGATCAGAGAGAAGAGGAAAAGCAAAACACAAAAACCAGAGTGCCCTGTAAAGCGCTAATGCTCCACAACATGAAAAGCTGCACTGTTAGCGGCAGAACTCGCGGGTTTCTCTCTCTGCCCGGTCTGACCGTTTTGCAGGTCGGCGTTGCGCCCCCGCCGCCGGCTCCCCCGCGCGCCCCGAGAGCCCTGCAGGAGCCGGTCCCGGCGGGCGCGGGCGCGGGCGCTTGCTGGGTTGGTGCAAGCCTGTTGGTTAGCTCTGCTCGAGCAATTAATCTTCTCGTGCATCTCCCGCCTCAGGGGGGTGGTGGGGGCCTCGGGTCGCCTCGGGGGTCGTGGGGGAGCCCGGACAAGAGGGGCCGCTCTACCGAAACCCTTGTTCCGAGAGCCCCTGGGGTGCCATAACCTGTTCCTCTCTGCAGCAGCCTCGGAGGGTAGAGGAGGGGCTAGTTTCGGCTCCACAAGGGAGGAGGGAGAGAAAAAGGGCGATTATATTGGTCAGTAGTTGAGCCTCTCGGGGGGAAGGGAGGAGCGCACCGGCGAGTGCGCCCTAGGGGAGGAGTACACGTGCTGCGGAGGGGGGGTGGGAGGCG